TACTATGTCCCTACTTCAGGGATGGTCAACAGAATGGGAAGGGGTGAACTGAGATGACATTCTGAGAGCAGCTGAGAGAGGTTGAAGGGAGAGCCACTTCAGCTGGATGGTCAAGCACCTTTGAGAATTAGCAAAGGTCCTGGAGCTGAGCTCCTGTGTTTTTCCACTCTGAAGAACATTCTTGGGGTGCAGAGCTAGAAGAGAATCAAGAGGAAGAATTGGTTGTGAGATCAGTGCACAGATTAAACAAACAAAAAACATTTGCTGCAGGTTTCCCAGAATTGAACTTCCTCTTGTAATCTGGCCTTGCATGACCAGTTTACCCCAGAGTTTAGCGTGCTCACTTATCCGCTGTTCTAACCCCTAAATGGGTGTGGCAGACCAGCAGGGGTAGGCTTTGAAGTCAGAGAGACCTGGATTCCACTCCTTGCTCTGCCCTTACTGCTGTGTGCCTGCTGGCAAGTCACTTAGCCGTTCTGGACCTCGTTTTCCTCTTTAAAATGGAATAATAAGAGTAACTACCTCGAGCATTGTTGTAAAGGTTCAATGAGATAATACAACATAGAGTACCTGGTATGGAGTAGTACATAGAGTTTAGTGAATTGCTGCTGCTGCTAATACCAGTTCTGTAAATATCAATATTATTAGTACAATTGCTACTGCCTACTCTGTGAAGCCTGCTTTGACTTCCCATGAAGTTAGCCACTCCCTCCCCTGTGCTCCTCCAGCCCTCGAGCCTCTGTTTATAATATGGACCTTACTGTATTACCATTGTTGGCATGTCTCTCCCCTACCAGACTGTACACTCTCCAGGGGGCAGTTTTTGATTTATTGATGATAGCCATTCTGACAGGTGTGAGGTGAGCATCTCAATGTGGTTTTTTAATATAATTTAATTTAATATTATTTATTTTTTCATGGTGACATTGGTTAAAGAATCCTATAAGTTTCAGCTGTACACTTTAACAGTAAGGCATATATATATTTACACTGTATGTTCACTTATCACAGTTAGATTTCTTTCTGTCACCACATATTTGATCCCCTTTACCCCGTCTACCTCTCTTCTCCCCCGCACCCCTTACACTCTGGTAACCACTAGTCTATAGTCCATGTCCATGAGTCTCTGTTTATTTGTCTTGTTCCTTTGTTGCTTTTAGGTTTATATCCCACATATAAGTGATATGTGATTTTCAACTTTTTCTGTCTGGGTTATTTCACTTCGCATGATTACCTCGAGGTCCATCCATGTTTGTATTTTTCTTAATGCCTAGCACATAGCAGTAGCTCAATAAATATTTGTAGAATGGATGAATGAGCAAATGAGTCAAAATATCTATGATCGCGGCCTGTTTCTCCAAGCAGGCTAAGAAAGATCCAGTGGACATTCTTACTTGTCCTTGTAAAGCCCTTTCAGGTAAAGCCCTGCCCAGGATCACCGGGTTTGTAAACAATATTTATTCAGTGGTTCTATTTGGCCAGTGGTCACTCAGCATTTAAACCTGGCCAGCTCCCTGTGTAAGGAGCATAAAGAGTGTTTCCTAAGCTCCACACTACCAGCTGGGGAGCAGCTGCCTCTTTGACCCCTAAAGTCTTCATCAGCCAGGCCTCGCTCCTCATTATCCCTTCTAAGCACCAAGCTCAGACCCCTGTTTGTACTTGGCCTTTCTTTCTTTTTTACTATTCCTATGGCCTTGTCACTGCCATTCAAGTAATATTTATGAAGCACCCACTGTGTGCAGAACACCAGATTATGCATTTGAGCCCTTGGTCATATTCTATCTTATGTGATCTTGGGTATGTAATTTGGATTTCCTCAACAAAATTGTAAGCTCCTAGAGAGTGAGGGAGTGTGTCGTCTACTTCTTTTGTGTCTCTTACAGCACCTAAAATAGAGTCCAGCACAGTCATGGGCATGTGGATAAATACTTGTGGACTTGACGTCTAGGCTCAAGAGGTCAGTGTGAGCTCTCGCTCCATGGAAGAATGAGAACAAGGAACATACAGCTCAGTCAGCAATATGGTTTCAGTATATACCTAATCTCAGGGCTCTCACACTTTGGGGAAGGAGGAGGGCTAGTGATCCTAGTCCTCTTTGTTCTCCTTTAGCCTCTCGATACACATGTAGCTCCCTTCATTCCACTCACCCACCTTCCAAAGGCAAAAAAACAGCAACTATGAATATTGAAGAGCTAGCTAATCTCTGTATCTCATTATTCTGCTAATTTTCTGTCTTTGTCTGTTCCCTATGCATTCGGCCATGTCATCGTTACCTTCTATTATGAATTTCTGAACAGCAGAAGTCTGGATTAGGCCTCTTATCCCCACATAGCTTGGGAGCTGAAGAAATGCCTCTTGATGTTGATGACATTGAGGGACACCACAGTGTGAGGGCCTGAGGCCCAGGAGATGGATAGCAGTTGTATTGTGGGAGGCTCTGCCTCTCCCCTAGAATTCTGAGCTTTTGTTTGCCTTCCATTTCAGGCCCACCTGCCTTTTGCTGTCATTGGCAGCACAGAAGAACTGAAGATAGGCAACAAGATGATGAAGGCCCGGCAGTACCCTTGGGGCACGGTGCAGGGTGAGTGAGTCTCCAGGAGACAAGAAGAAGGGAGCCCCTTCTGTCCATCTCTTTGCTTGTCCCCAGCTACGGTGTGACCAGTTCCTAACTTGTCCCCAGTCTCTACCCTTTTGGCTTGGGCCTCAAACAGCCATAAGGGTCACCAGCAGGCAAACTGGCTCCATACCTAGATTCTCTGCTGTGAGCAGGCTCTCTTTGTCTCTAATAGAGAAAGCATTCCTAAAACAAAAACAAATGTACCTGGAGCAAGGTGGGAAGGAATGTGCAAGAAAGCATGTGTACTTGCCCAAGTGCACCAGGAGACGTACAACAATGTCCAAAGCAGTGTTATTTATAATAACAAATAATTAGGAACAACTCAGATATCCAGTGAAAATAAATTAGATGAATTGTGAAATGTTAGTGTAATGGGATATTATACTACAGTGAAATGAATGGATTATAGTTACATCTATATGAATGCATCTCAGAAACATAATGTTGAGCTAATTAAGTCATAGAAGAATACATGCTGTGTGATTCCATTTATATGAAATCCAAAAATAGACAGAAGTAAACAAGATACATATCTTTAGGAATTCATATGTAAGTAGTAAAACTATAAAGAAAAACAAAGGAATGATCAACCCAAAAGTCAGGTTAAGTGTCATGGCAGGGAAGGAGGGGCGTGAGATCAGGAAGGGACATAATATGTGTTAAGTTATACTCGGACTAGTCAGTTCAGTGGATAAAACAAGGCCTAGGACTGAAATCAGTGAAAGGGGTACCTGGCCCTCTGAGTCTGCAGCTATAAGCTAGGTCTGAGATTGCAGGAGCACCATGTGTGACAGGGTGGCTGGTTCACTGTGGACTCATCTTTGCCACTGAGCAAAAAACTGAAATCAGGTAGGAAGTTGTTCATATTGCATCCAAAGGCTGGCATGCTTTACGGCACACTAGAGAACCCCTCCAGCGGTACCCATATTTTCCATAAGTAGAACAAAACTAGTTGTCAGAGGTGTGCTAGATTTTGGTCTTCTCTGCCATTTAAGGCTGGGGATGCTGTGCTAGGAACACTTGCAAATGGTTTCTGGACCAACAGTCCCACCCTGGGAATGGATTTGTGGTCTGAGAGACAGGAACCTGAGGAGAATCCAGCAGGCATGGTTCCAATGACTTCCTCCAGATTAGGCCATCCTGCGCCTGACAAAGTGGTTTTTGAATGTTTTTCTTGTAAGTCAGGGTTCACCATTCTGTTTGAGTGAGATAGAAGCTGTGTATTGTCTGGGCAGCCTGCAGGGACCTTGGAGTCACTCCTTCTGACTGACCATCAGGGATCACTGTCTGAAGACGGAAGAAGAGATGGTCCTTAAAAGTTGCCTAACTGATGCAATTTATAATATTAGCTTATAGTCTATGACAGTGAGGGGCTTTATCCCAAAAGCAATGGGTCTGAAGTACAGGGGTTATGTGGGCTGATTTGGGCTTCAGAAAGATTAATCTTATGACTTCAAGGCAGTCTGCTGCAACTGTGGCCCACCCTATCATCTCGGACTCCCTCCCTGACCCCACTACCCTCTCCCACACCTTGTGAGACAGAATCCGGAGTGACTATGCCTCTTCATCATCTCAGACCCACTGTCCCCACATGGTCAGGCCAGACACTTCCGTTCTGATACAATGGAGCCATGCCTGGAGACACATGCCAGAGCACTGCTCACAACTTTATGTTCTAACCAGAAGTCCACATTGCTATGATTTGGTCCACATCTCTGTCTTTCTTGGCCACTGCCCAAATGAAGACCTTTGCCACACTCTTTTGAGGAGGGAACTTGTTCACTCAGGCTGGAAAGTGGGGTCTTCTCTGTCCTGGTCACCATTGCTGCTGTCAAGCCATCATCCACCCTCTAAAAAACTCCTCCATTGAAGCTTCTACCATCAAGATGGGCCACACCCTTCCTTGTCACTGTCATCTATTGATGTCCTAGTTCTTCTCCTTTACTCTTTAGAGACTCTGGCACCTGGTCATAGCCTTTGCCTCTGCTTTAGATAACCTGGATTGGAATCCTAACTCTGCAACTTACTATGTAACCTTGCCTAACCTCATTGAGATCTTGCAAAGACTATTCCCTCAACTGCCTAATACATTTCTATCCTTCCTTCAAGAATCATCTTAGGGGTTGCCTCTTTGGCGAGGCCTTCACTCTCCCAGGAGTTCTTAGTCCCATCCTCTTCTAGATTTTAATTGCACCTTGGCTCTATATCTCCATTTTCATAATTTTTGCATTGTATTATATTTGTCTATTTGCATCTATTCTTCCGCTAAACTCTAAGCTCCTGAGGCAAGACTGCCTGACTTCATTTCTAAATTGCCAGTGCCTCATACCATACTGAAAACAGAGATTCCGCAAATATTGATCAGAAGGATGGCTGAAGTGCATGTGCCATTGTCCTAAGAGTGGTGCAGAGCAAACACTCCTGTGGGTGTCTGGTAAATGGGGTTTAAGGAGCTACTGAATGCCTTTGTAGATTTTTTCATGGTGTTACAGTTTTTCATTACTATCATTCTTGTAACTTTTCATTTGCCTTTTCAATAGAAAAGCAAATCAGGAGGCAAATTTGAAGGCTCTACATACATAGATTGAAAGGCAATGTCACTGTTAGACATTTCACCTCTCATTTCTTTCATTTCTGCTTCTTTTGGTCTTCCTTTCAATATACTTTCAATCTTCCATCTCTTGCTATGCAGTTGAAAACGAGGCCCATTGTGACTTTGTGAAGCTGCGGGAGATGCTGATTCGGGTCAACATGGAAGACCTCCGGGAGCAGACCCACAGCCGGCACTATGAGCTCTACCGCCGCTGTAAGCTGGAGGAAATGGGCTTTAAGGACACCGACCCTGACAGCAAACCCTTCAGGTAACCTCTCCTGCCAGCCCAGCTCAGCTCAGCCCAGCACCCCCAGGGGGTGTGGAAGCCTTGCTCTGGAGCATACACAGAGGGCAGACACAGGCACTCAGGTGAGAGCAGCAGGGCTCAGTCACTTGCTAGTTCCACCTGCCCATTCCTCTCTGCCACCAAACTCCTGCCCTGGGGAACTGTGCCAGGTGAACTTGGTAAGCACAGAGCCAGGGAGGAGGCCCAGAGGCCCAGAAAGGCCAATGGTTTCATTGCTAGAAGTGCGCACGCACGCGTGCACACACACACACACACACACACACACACACATACACACAGAGCGATAAGAGGGGAAGCCCTGGGCTGGGGCCTTGTTCCCCAGTGTGGCAGTTTGTGCCTGTCCTCCACCTCCACTTTCCTTATCAGGCTCCTGCTGCTCTGTTAGGTTTCCAGTATGTTCTTTACCCTCCTGCCCATTATCAAAACCAGATGGGACCAGGTAGCAGCCATTGCACATGTATTGATGAACTTCAGGCTCTTCATCCGCTGTCCTTGGTGTTTGCATTCAAGTGGAAGTTTTGTTTTGACCACAGGATGTTAATAATCATTGACATACATCTCAAATCTAAGATGCTTCCAGAAAAGAAGAATATTTTCAATAGGAGTGATATGCCAAGTATAAGTGTTTGATCTATATGCATGATATGTGACATAAGCCCCACGTTTTAAATGACCATGTGGTGCCCTTTACTAGGGCTCAGTCTCCTTTTAGGAAATATCAGGCATCAATAAGCAAGTGAGGGGGAAGCTTGTGGGCTAAGAAGGCTTTCAGATGGCCTCTGAGATCCCATTGTACCTATTCACAGTGGAAAGCTGGCCTGGGGACAAATCAGAGCCAGTCCTTCAGGGATGCCTAGTTCTGGACGGCCAGATCCAATCCCCCTCACCAACAGGGGCCACTGGAACTCCTGGAGTTGGAAGGAGGTGTGCTTGTCTCTTTAATGGGCACTCCCTTAGCTTTCTCTCTCCTTCCCTCTGTCAGCTTTAATCTGCATCTGTAGAGGAAAAGATGTGCTTCTACCTGTTCATCTAGTCCTCTCCCCTTCTCCTTTGCTCCATCCTGAACACCTGCTACCCATGTCTTCACCCTCTGCACTATTCCTCTGCTGGCTTCTTTCCATGTTGCATGCAAACATTTTCATACTAAAAGAAACTTGCCCTCTAGTGCTCCTCCTCACCATCCTTTGTCCTGTCAAGAAGTTTGGCTCTGACGGGATGGAGAAAGAGTTACTCTGTATTTACTAGCTTCTGACTCCACCACACCACTGAAATACCTCCCTTCAAAGTCAACAATCACAAGCTCGTGGCTGATTATAGGGTGACCGCTGAGTCCCATCTTTTTTGATCTTAAAGTTTGATACTCCTTCCTGATGCGTCCTTCCCAAAGTTCTCTCTGCCTTTGGCCTTTCTAGCACTGGCCTGGCTGGGTTTAGTCCTATCTCTCTCGCTACTCCTTCTCAGCCTCATTGGCAGGCTCATTTTCTTTTCAGCCTTAGATGTTGTGCCCTAAGATTCTTTCTTCGGGTCTATGCTCTCTATTCTCTTTGTGGCTGATTCTTTCTCCTCTCACAGCCCTAATTGCCACTTAGAAATAAGGACTCTTAAGCTAAAACCTTACTTTTGAGCTCCAAACCTATTGATTTAACTGCATACTGGATGTTTTCACTTGGACATTCAATAGGGGACATACCTAAAACTCAAGCTTCTAAAATTTAAATCATCTTCCCTCATAGCATACTCCTTCTCCAGTGTTCCCTGTTGCAGTTCATAGTACTATCATCCACCTGGTTGCTCAAGCCAAAAAACCGGAATCATCTTTGCGTCCTCCTAAGTCCTGGGAGTCCTGCTTCCCTTACTATTCCTCCAGGTCCCTCAAGTCCCCCATTCCCTACCAACCCTTAACATCAAGATCTTGTCATTTCTTACTTGGATAGTCGGAAAGTCTATCTATGCAACACTTAGAGGGGTCTTTCACATTTTCAAATTGGATCAAGTTTAAAACCTTATAGTGGATAAATGTCCGAGTATGATATGGCATCGAATGCCTGCTCTCTCTTGCCATACTCAGGAACTTCATCTCCCACCATTCCACAGCCATCACCTGCCTCTCTAGCCATTCTGGACTATGCCTGGTCTCTGAGCATGACAACCTCTCCATGTGGGCATTTCCATATGCTGTCCTCTTCAGAGCACAGTTTCTCCTCTTCTTTACCAGGCTAGCTCCTATTTCTTTAAAACTAAGTCCAGGCTGGGGGCAGGAAGACTTAGCCCAGGCATCTATCACTAGATTGTGAGTTCTTTGATGGCAGGCACAGTGGTTTTTGTCTCTGGATGGTGAGTGACTAGCATAGTGTCACTCAGTCCTCTGTCTAGCACATGGTGTAGTAGCATCAAGTGTTTATTGCACTAACTCACTAATGTGGTCAGTTTCAGAACGAGGACCTGGTAGCAGAGTGCAGTGAGAGGACCTAGAGTAAGAAATAAGAGATGCAGCTCCCAGTTCCAGCTCTGCCTCTAACTAGCCATGTGGTCTTGAGCAAGTCACCTCACCTCTCAGGACCTGTTTCCTTGCCTGTAAAACTAGAGTATAGAAGCATATGTTCTAAGTCACTCCCAGTTCCAAATATCTCTCCCGTTCAACAGGGCTGTCCCATGCCCCTCAAGCAGCTGTCACATTCCACACCACCTGCCCATAGCTTTGTGGTTCTGTTTTCACACCTCTCCCAGAATTGGGGAAGGGAAGATGGGGGTACCCAGAGAGGATCATTGGGGACCAGTTTTTATCAAATAGGAGCCATTTCAAAGGCAGAGGAATTAACCTGACCATGTTCGCAGTTTACAGGAGACATATGAGGCCAAAAGGAATGAGTTCCTAGGAGAGCTCCAGAAGAAAGAAGAGGAGATGAGGCAAATGTTCGTCCAAAGAGTCAAAGAGAAAGAAGCTGAACTCAAAGAGGCAGAGAAAGAGGTAAATGTGAGCCTAGGTGCCAGACGGGAAGGAAAAAGAAGCTGAACTTGGGCGTGGCAGAGGCTTCTATCCCAAGAGCACAGCCAGTGGAAACCTTGCAGCCTCCGGGCAGGAATAGGGCACAGCATCTGTAGCCTTGCCTTGGTTGGCACAGAAGGGGCTGTGGGAGGTCTGTGTCTTCTTAATCCTTCATTCCGCAGGACCGGGATGTTTTCTCATTCCATGTTACTTAATTCTCTAGAGGCACGCTGTCCATATGTGACTATTTAAATTTAAATTAATTAAAATTAAATAAAGTTTAAAACTCAGTTCCTCAGTCACATTAGCCACATTTCAAATGCTGAATCCTCATGAGACTAGTGGCTGTCATATTGGACAGCACAGATATAGAACATTTCCACAGAAAGTTCTATTGGGCAACGCTGCTCAAGAGCCAAGACCTGACCTAGCCCCCTGAGGTCAGGTGAGAGCTGATTCTTTTCCCTCTTCCTGGGAGTTCAGAGCTCAGTAGGGACAGTTGATCACTTTCTTTGCTATCCTGCACATCCCAACTGCTCTGACGGCCATGGAGAAAGATGGCCCCAGGCAGTTCAGGGTACCTTGCTGAAAACTAAAACGATGACAGCTGGGGCATTTCCCTAGTCACTCAGAAATTCTGTTCCATTTCATGGTGGCATTTAAAAAAATCTGTGCAGCCCTGTCGAGTTTTTAAATTAAGGTTTAATACTCCTTCTGGGGTTTTCCTTACTTAAGCCATGCCTAATAGAGTGCAGTTAGTACTCTAACCATTGCCTTGGGTTCAAGGTCTCCCTACCAATTTGCCCACTGCTGCCTAAGTGCCCTCGGCTACAGTTTTGATCACATCAGCAACTGCTTCACCTCTCTGGGCCTCAAACCCATGATGAAGGGAAGCACTTAATTACTTTTCAAGTCTCTTCCCCTGTAATCTGCTGTGACTCTCTAGGGTTATCACCAAAGCCCAGAGCAAGGGTATTGATTTTATTTCAGTTTCATTTTTCGAAAGAAAAATGTCACCCAATACTTTTAAGAGGAGAGATAAGGGATCTCAAAGAGAAATGAATGAAAGGCCAATGGACAAAAGCCAAGTTACAGCAACTGATCAGCAAGCAGAGCTTCCACCACCCTACCACAAGAGACTAGTAAAAGCTTATTTACCAGGCAAGTCTATCGTGCACCACCTTTTATGAAGTGACAGTCCCAAATATCTCCAGGATTTGGAGACCTGACCTCCTTCATGGTGTGCTGCAAGTGCTAAAGAATTCTATATTCTCTCCTGAATCCTCAAAAGAAAGTGAAATTATTCTTGGTCTAGTCTTACTATTCAGGATAGTTTATCGCATTCTAGTTTGTTACCACATGGTCTTCCTCCCTGATCCACTTACCACAATGGCATGTCAGAATATTCTTGCTGTTCTTCTTTGGGTCTCTGGCTCTATTCAATGCTAGTGAAGCCTCCCTTTGATCTAATGATCAAGGCTGAAGTCTCCACATTCTTTCCATTTTTAAAAAAATTTTTTATGGCGACATTGGTTAACAAAATCCGATAAATTTCAGCTGAACATTTAACAGTAAGGAGTATATACATTCCTTGCGTGTTCCTCTTCCACAGTTAGAGTTCTTTCTGTCACCACATATTTGACCCATTTTATCCCATCTACCTTCCCTCTCCCCTCTTCCACCTCATCCCTACCCTCTGGCAACCACTAGTCTATCATCCATGTAGATGAGTCTCTGTTTGTTTGTCCTCTTTGTTTATTGCTTTTAGGTTTATATCTCATATACAAGTGATATCACGTGGTTTTCAATGTTTTCTGTCTAGTTTATTTCACTTATCATGATTATCTCGAGTTCCATCCATGTTGTCGTAAATGGCAGTATTTCATCTCTCCTTATGGCTGAGTAATACTCCATTATATATATGTACCACAGCTTCTTAAGCCAATCATCAATCATAAAGCACTTTGGTTGCTTCTAAGTCCTGGCCACTGTGAGTAATGCCGCTATGAACATTGGTGTGCAAATATCTTTTCATATATGGGTTTTCAAGCCTTTGGGATAAATACCCAGTAGAGGGATCTGCCGGATCATATGATAGATCAAATCTTAGTTATTTGAGGAACCTCCATACTGTTTTCCATAGTGACTTGACGAATTTGCAGTCCCACTAGCAGTGTATGAAGGTCTCTTTTATTTCACATCCTCTCCAAAATTTGTTATTACTTGTCCTGTTGATTATAGCTATTTTAACAGGTGTGAGATGGTATCTCATTGTGGTTTTGATTTGCATTTACCTAATAGCTAGTGATATTGAGCATCTTTTCAAATATTTGTTGGCCATTTGTATATCCTCTAGGGAGAAGTGTCTGTTTAGATCCTCTGCCCATTTTTTGACTGGATCGTTTGTTTTTTTGTTGTTCTTGAGTTATATGAGTTCTTTGTACATTTTGGATATTAGGCCTTTATCAGAGGCATTGCTTGCAAATATATCTTCCCATTCAAATGGTTGTCTTTACCTTGTTGATGGTTTCCTTTGCTGAGCAGAAGCTTCTTAGTTTGATGTAGTCCCATTCATTTATTTTTGCTTTTACTTCCCTTGCCTTTGAGGTCAAATTCATAAAATCCTCTTTAAGTCTAAGGTCTTT